TGCATACACCCGTTCCAAAGCGGTCACAACAAACACCCTCGACAAAACAACGAGGAGGACCAAATACCGCCCTAAGGCGGTTAACGACCATGCCATGAGTAAGGCTTCCTAAGACATTCCCTAGCCCATATCGGTGAAAACCCAAGGAATCACGGGCAAAAGCGCGATATCCAAGGAAGTCACCTTCCGGGCCGCGTCCTGATTCAAACATGGCTACAATCCGCGGATAGATACAGGTCCCGCTAAGACCCTGATCGCACAAAAATCTTATGAAAGGAAAATCAAGCCCATAAAAGGTACCACTCTAGTGCGGTCCCAGGCAGATCGATTAGAAGACAAAAACCCGCACCAACGCGGTCGCAAATACTGTCAATACATCACCATGACAATCACGCAAAAGAAAATGTCTTAAGTCGCAAGCATGAAAGGAAAAACTAGAAAACCAAGAGAATATCATAGCTAAAAAACACACACGATGAAAGGCGGTCTCAAACAGCCGGAGATCCCCCACTCGCCGCGTCACCTCCTTCACCCACATCCTCGTCCTCCGCCTCGCCTTCGTCTGATTCATCAGCCTCCGAGTTGACATCTAAGGCGGACCAGTGACCAACGGCATCCCAAACGCGGTCAGAGTCCCAACCCAGGTCGGGGCACTCCTCCCGGAACAGGTGACGGATGGCTGCCACAACGTCGCCAACGACCTTCTTATACTTCACTTTGTCTTGAGCAATGAAGTCTGCAGACGCGAGGTAAGACGGACCCGCCTCAGCCCGAACCGCCGCCAACTCGGCTGCATGAGCTGCTTGGAGAGATGCCTTCTCCAGCTTCAGAGCATCCACCTCCCTTCGCAAGGCATCCTGTTCTTCCACCAGAGCCTTCTCAATCTCACTAGACCTGCGCATCGATTCCTGGAGGCGGTCTCGCTCCTCGCGGACAGCCTTCGCACCCTCTTTCTCGTCGGCTAACTCCTTCTCTTTACTCGCCAACCGCTCGCCGAAACTCTTCTCTAGCTGAGCGCGTAGCTCTCCCTCCACAGCAGCACGGCCACCCTCCAAACTCTTCTTGAGGTTAGCGATCTCGACCGCATTATCATCCACCGCTTTCGACAGGCGGTCATTCAGAAGCACAATCTGAGAAAAGCCGATCTGCGCCTGCGAAATCCGAATAAGGCTAAGGAACTAAGTAAACCAAAGCAGGGGGCACAACGAATAAAACATGGAGTAAAGACGAAGTGATTTATCCCAAAGAAGAATTGGGACGCGGTTCCCGCTAACCGGCGGTTACTCCCAGGCGAGGTAGCCGTGTACTCGTTGGGCATGATTAGTTGCTCGCTAATCGTATGGAACGCCAACTCTGCAGCCTCGGTGTCGGTGGCCGCCTTCGGGGGAACATTCACCAGGCTAGGCTTATCTGATCGCTTCACCCCTTTTCCACGACGATCCTCAACCGCCGAAGGAGAACCGCGCACTCGAGTACGTTTCGACACCGCCTCGGGCGTCTCATGCTGCAGTGTCCTCTTAACCGCTCCCCTTTGAGTAAGAGCCGGGCCGCCACCGGCCGCACTGGGTGAATCGACATCCACACGGATGGGAGAAGTCACTAGTGGGTCAACAGAGACAGCCGCCACTGAGGAGGAAGCAGCACCAGCCCGGGCGGTCTTGTTCGCCTTCTTCTTCCGCGGTCTATTGGCGTCCGCCAGCTCCCTCAACCCTGAAGAAAGAAGGCATAAGTAGATACATGAGAAAATAAACTTCAAAGTCAAACAATGCACTACTAACCGTAAAAGCCACGAACAAACTGGTAGGCGCTGTCGGCACCACTATGGCGAACTCGAAACTGAACCGCCTTCACTATGCGGTCAACATGGTCACGCACTGACTGAGGAAAAAGATTTGAGTCACTCCAATCATCCTTCGACCCGACCGCATACCCCGTCAAAGGCTCGGCGTCCCCCGAGTACCACTTCCAGGACGGTCTGGCAAAGAAGAACTCTCTGTACCAAGGCGAGTCCAACTTAGGCGCACCAGTAACAAACCCGATGGCATTCTCCCGCCTCCCAATCGACCAGCAGTTGGCCGAATCTCTGATATTGTAAATCAGCCTAAATGCTTCAAAGGAAGGCTCCTCCTTAATGCGGTCACACGCCAGCCGATACATCACCGAGTGAAAAATTATCGTCGGCGAGAGCCGCCCAATAGTACAGTGCAGCCAGTGCAAGACTTTGGTCATGATTGGGTCCAGTGGAAACCGTAAGCCGAGCTTCACGTGCTCCACATGAATAGGTATCCATCCACTGGGGCATGACCCAGAGCGGCTACTCGGAGAAGGGGCCGCATACTGCCAATCGGGAGGCATCCGAAGCACCTTAAGGCGGTGCAACACCTGTCCCGGCTTAAAGACCGTCCCGGAAGTCTTCGGCCCTTGCTCATACACGGTCGAGGGGATCTCCTGCCCCTCCCACATGCCCGCGTAATGGAGAACGGTGTACACCGAATCCTGGACAGCAACCAAGGGCGGTCTCACCTCCCCCGATTCGGACACTTCCAAGGAGGAGGACGTGCTAGGAGACGCCTCCGAGCGCACACCGTCACTACTCACTTCCACGTCATCCTCCTGAGAAGGGCTATCTAGTTCTACCCGCTCAAACTCCCCCAAATTATCCCCCACCGCGGACGACGTAGTCCAAACCCCAACTGGTACAGACCGTACGTTAGCACAATAGTCATCTAAGTCTACACATTCCCCCAAAAGACAGTCGTCTAACTCAGAGGCATTGCCCACATACAAGTCTAACCCAGATAAATCCCACACACACTCAGACGTGTTTTGCATGGGCGAAGAGCGGTTCGTACCTTGGGAAGTAAAGGCCGCTACAGAGGCGCTGGCGGGCTTCGTCGCCATGGGCGGAACCGCCGTCGGAGCCGCGGAGCTCAAAGGAGCGTCGAGTCCGGCGACCACTGATGGAGGAGCGGCGACGGGCACACCCTCGCTAGCGGCGGCGCCACATGCACCAGCATCGGAGGTGGGAAGCATAGCGCCGCCGACCATTCTGTGCAAGGCTGTTCGCCGAGCAGCGGCGGCCCAATTCCAAAATCAGAGTAAAGGAAGGGTAAGACAAGCGCCCAAGAGCGAACCCACTAAGCAAAGAAAGAAAATCGCAACAGGAAAATCGTACCTGGAGAGTTCGACCGGATTTATATAGACATCGGCGGCGACAAAGCCTGATCGCGCGCAGAGAAAAGAGGGAGGAAGAAGACGAGGATTTTCCCAAACTAGGAAGAGAGTTGGTGATTCGAACTCCTTCTCCCCAAGCACTTATAGCGAAAAAATGGGAACCACAAAGTCCCGATGCGACAGCCTCGGGCCTCACAAAATCCCGAGGTGACGTTCCGCCTCTCCGTGTCAGAGTGACGTTCCCCCTCCCGGTGTCAGGGCTCCGCGCCCGAGGCACGACAAGTGGCGAAGCAAGAGCAGGCCAAGGGAACCGCTCCGGATTACCCCTAAGGCGCTCGTCGCTTCATATTCCCGCGACTAGGGGCAACAGGGCAAAGCACGGGAAGGGACCGCAAGCCGCCTCGCAGGTTTACTAAGGGCTTAGTGGTCCGTACCCGCCCAATGATCACAAAGCGAGTCAGTTAGACGCGAAAACCTAAAGCTTCTCCCGCCTAAGGGGCAAATGTTGGGTCACACATTGATCCACACGGCCCATAAGCCCACACAAGAGCAAGCAAGGCCCAAAAGCGAAGGCGGTCCGACGATGCTAACACCGAAAGGACCGCCCGACACATAATGGCCCGACACTGATGAACCACCCGACACTCTGGATCCTACGAACGGACTCTGACAAGGTACACGAAGGAACCCAGAGGCGGTCTCGGGGCCCCAACGCCAAGAAACCGCCCGACATTCTGGATCCTACGTACGGACTCTGACAAGGGGCACGGAGAAATCCGGAGGCGTCCCGGAGCGTCTGACACAACATTAAATGCTCGGAGCCCAGTCGAGACTAGTATAAATACCCCTCGTAGGATCACATTGAGGGTAACTTCTACCAACTCCATTCTCTCTCTTATTTACTTACTCTTCACTTCTCTCTCTAACTTAGGCATCGGAGGAGGTCCCAGGATCCCCCTGAGGACCTTTCTGTAGGGTTTCGGAGACCGCCCTCGACCATCGAAGCCGCCCAAGGCCAGTAGAGTCTCACAAACCGCCTGGTACATTCCAGGCACAAACATTATCAATTTGTTTTTAGTGTACGTAAACCGTAAAATGAAAACCTTAATACCCTAATCCAGTCCTACACCACACATTAGTATAGTAGAGGCTAGAGAGTATAGAGTAGTAACGAACGTGGATCTTTTTAGTGATAGGTTGGTTAATTATTAAGGCCGCTACCATCCTCGAAGCGAAGCTCCCCAAGACCCCAACTACTGAAAATCTGGCGCTCGCATTAAAAGCCATTTACAGCCCCCCGCCCGCCTCTACAGTCCCGCAATCAAAGACCCTCAGGCCTCAGCCACCTAGCTAGAGCCCAATCTTCCTACCTACTGACTGTGCACTGGATGGACAATGGGACTTGGCATTTCTCAAAGCGAACTACAACCACCGAAATAAAATGAAATCTTCATCCAATTCTTTTCCTTCTACCTAGATACATCTGATCTTTAGTTTCGCTTCAATCTTAATTAATTAGCACCAATTTAATTTCTCAAGTCTCGACCGTATCCCATCTTTTGACCACCCACCCTCACATCCCCATCAAATATAATAACTCCATCCCATAAACACTACTTTTAGTATAGCTCACTAGCTAGCTGCCTCTATCCCCTTCTATTACTTTCCTAGTATTCCTCTCCCATCCCATTCAAGCAGTTGAGAGACAAAAAGAGATAAGAGAACCAAAGATGCAAACTTCCCAACTGCTAAGCGTTTCCTTGACCGCCGTTGTGCTCTTCCTCGCCTACGGCGGCGGCGGTGGTGCTGGAAACTTGGCGACGAAAATGCGGCAAGGACTTGGAGAGCGTGATGACGTGCCTGAGCTTCGCGCAGGGGAAGCAGAGCTCGCCTTCCAAGGAGTGCTACTGCTGCGCTTCCACCAAGAACACCAAAGACAAGGAGCCCGAGTGCCTGTGCTACATCATGCAGCAGACCCACAACGACACCGCCCAGTTCAAGAGCATGGGCATCCACGAGGGCAAGCTGCTTCAGCTCCCCACCGCTTGCCACCTACAGAATGCCAGCGTCAGCAACCTTTTAACTCACTGTTTCTTCTACTTCATTTTGAAATGAAGCTCTAATTCTCGAGGATGCTTCCAACACTGAACTTCATCAGCCGAATTGTTAAATGGCTCCCTGCTAATACCCTTAATTACCCCTAATTATACAACAATTTTATCACTCGAACCAGAGCAGCACAAGTCATCGCCGCAACCAAACCCAGGTTCGCCCATTTCACGTTTCAGAAGAAAGCTTTGCGAAAAGCAACCTGTAAACAATCAAATCAAAACCTCCTGCAATCACCCACGACTCCATAACTAGCAGAGAAAGGGAATCAATGGTGCATTGTTGTTAAAACCTCAAATCCCAAGTTTCAGGGTTTGTGAAAGGACAGTTCAAAACCATCCCCAGTTTGAACTTGATTATGAACACATGCAATCATCAAATATTCGAAACCACCTTGTTTTTACCCTCCATCCTAAGTCTTAAGTCCCCATTTTAGTTACCGGACGCAAATGTCTTACTTGAATTACCACTCAAAGACTAAATTATTTCTCGTCACGATTGTTTTTCGTCTTCCTTCACAGAAACAGCTTCAGCGAAGCTCTTCGACATCTTCTTGATGACATCACTGGGAAGTGACACCACACGACCCGGTGGGCTAGCCGACTTCGGAGGAGATGCAGCAGAAGGGGCAGCTGCAGAGGATGGTACGTTGGCCTGCTGCTGCTGCTGCTGCTGCTGCTGCTGCTGTCTCGATGACTTACGGACCTGCATTGTCTTCTGCCTCTCCTCGTAGAACTCAAAATCATCCAGTATGGATGAATGGCTCACGTACTTGTTGAATATGGTCAACATCTCAATCCCGTGATCCAACTGAACCTGCAACGGTTTTTGGATGGTGGAAGTATTAATGTGTGAACATGGCAGACAATTGACAACAGTGATCAAATCTTGCTAAACAGGTGTTTGTCCTTTAACAGTATAGAACAACTTGTCCTTTAACAGTATAGAACAACAGTGATCTAATATTGCTAAAGAGGCAAAGTAATGGAACAGTGACATTGTTGGCATATATATCGTGAGATCATGTGTGATTATCCGTGAAGCCATTCTAACTTAGTTTGGCTAAGTTCTATCCTAGCACTGACATAGCAGGAGAGGACTATCAATTCCTTAAAAAATGCACAAAAGGTTTGCTCTAGAACGAAAGAATTCCAGCATACAAGAGTCATAGAGAACATTCTTCCTAAGCATGGATCGACCTCATTACTAATTATTTGGAAGGAACTTCCAAGCACAGGAAAGAGAAAGGGGTAGTCACCTTAAAATTCACAGTACAATGAGGTAAAGCCAGAAACGAATACTCATGTGGACCTTAATTAAGCTGTTTTCCCACAACACTAAGTCATAAAGAAAGAGCCATTCTTTATGGAATAACAGTAACAAAAGTTTGGAAACCAAAGGAAGGCTTACCTCTTGAGTATCTCTGCTATTAGTGACAGGTTTGTTTTCATTATTTTGGAGGATAATGTGACGAAACTGACTGTTGGGGACATCTTTGATTACATGCCACTTCACAGGGAATTGTCCAGTCCATTTGTCCTGCTGCCAGTAGTCCACACTTTTCTCAAAGTCCACTGGTCCAATCATCTCAGCCACTCCACAGAACTGAGCACTAGCATTGACCTGTGCATAGCAAATATTGAAGATTGTCAGAAGGCAGGTAAACTCCATGCATTATGATGCATCTGGAAAGAGACCATGAAAGAGGACAAGTAGCTTAAAAGCATTGTCATATACATCCCGTCTCCCCCCAGAAACTACTCATTTCAGCCAACATCTCCCAAAATCTTGTAAATTCTCAGATGCCAAATAGTTGTCGAAGTTCACAGTTGCACTAACAATAAAGAAGGGACTGATGTTGGTTTTGGTTAACACGAGACCAGAACCACATAAATTTTGATCAACTGAAACTAATATTTGATTTGCGGTTATAATTAACTAGACTTCATACACAGTACTACTGAAAGTAAGTAAATGAAGCAAAAATGATAGGATAGATTCACTAAGAACACCTAAAGTTTATCATGTTCCAATATCCTTAACTAGTAATTTCAGGTAAATTATATCAATGGGCTTCGACAAGTTTTGGTTAACATGGTTCCTCTTTCGTTTAGTGAAATCGAAACAAAAAGGAAATTTTCTAAATCAACAGCTTAAACCAAATAATTTGGTTTTGGTTGACCCAAAACTCCAAAATTTGGTCTTGGTTCAGTTTAACCGGACACCATTTTCCCACCCCTAACTAACAAGCATAGAAGTTGTGAATAAGAGAATGGACATTACCGAAAATAGCAAGAAGACGGGACATGCCCCCTGTTTCTCCTGGGCTTCACAGTAGGCGGCATCTAGCTTCTTGTTTCCATTCTGAGTACTTGCCCAGACACCATATTTTATACTCTTGTGCACATTGTCCTCACTATAAGACTTTATCACAAAAAACTTTGCATCCTTGTAGTCGGTGACAAAATCCAATTTGTTGTGATGAGACACACTACAGCCATCATGTATCACAGTCCTGTGAATGTCAACCATGGGCTCGTTTCTTACTGTCTGGGTTCTGGGCTTAAATGCCCTAGGTCCTTTATTTCGCTCACTAAGTGTATCAAGGGCAACAGTACAACTGCATGAGAAATCATTGCACCTTCCCACACGCCTTGATTCATCGAGTGTAGGCCAGTTTCGGCAATTCGTCCTAAGAAGAGAAACTTCATAGCCAGAGTCATGATCTTTTTGACCTTGGGGATAGGTTTTGTAGGTGGGACTTGAATGAGATCCAAAGTCATAAAATGAGTCTCTGTGGCGAGAAGCCTGCATGAAGTTTTAAATTGAGATGACACACAAAGCTCAATCAAACAAACCCCATATTGTTCCAGATGCAATTCAGAAGAGATGCCAATTCACATTCACCACATAATAATTCTTCATGATTACCAAAGTAGACGAAAACAGGAAAACAATGCAGAGTAAGTATAGAACCACATGATCAACAAGTCTCATGCTTCACCACCTAGAAAAAGCTCATACTTTATATTTGTGACTCTAACTGTTATTTCTACATATATCAAGGAGCAGATATGTACAACTCTACATACCTCAACATCCAGATAAGAGTTTCGGTTACAAAGCACGGAAGCAAATACATAACTGTTCCAGTATTTTGGTTATGGTATCCAAGAGATTAAAAGAAAGACAAGAAACTAGATAATTGATCGAGTGGGTTTAGATGCCTAACCGTGGCAAAATGATTCTCAGGAAAACTGACTGCAGCCATTGGTTTTGGACAAGATGGTGATGAAGCCAAGTGCGTAAAAGAGTTTGTCCCGTTCGGAGGTTTTGACCAGTCTGGCCACAACCTACCACTTTCGATCCCATCAAATCCTTGTTGCAAGGGCCTGGACTGTCCCACCATTCCAGAAAAGTGGTGTCCTTCACCGAAAGCCCCCAAAGTATGTGGTTGACCAAGTCCAAGGTCATAACTATAGCAAGCTACATTTTGTGGATCAGAGTGGGCTGGCAATTGAACTTCAGAAATATGGTTTGACGATACAACATGTTGGATGTTATGTGAGATATGCTGCTGGAAATAAGGTGGGTTGGAGTTGGAGAACTCTTGCACATTGTACAATGTGCCGTCATAAGAAGATTGAAGGGGTGTGAATGGCACATATGGTCGATGCGTCATTTGAGAGCCATAACCATATCCATGAAAGGGAAGAGATGAAGAATCATCACGGATGCCCTACAGCAGAATGAAACCATGACACAGACAAGAACTTGTAGATCAAGAGGGGCAGGGGAAAAATATAGTTGGGGCAATAATAGGGCACTGGAACCGTTCTTACATGAGCACTATTACCCTGGCTTTCAACATTACCATCAGAAAGATGAACTCCCATTCTGCTAATCATACCATCATAACCTGCCAGACATAAAACCAAAAAAAAAACTCAAAGTTCTAAAGAGGCTGCTTACCATTACCAATCGGGAACCACATTATCATATGTTCTCCTATTAGTTTCTACAGACACAGACAATTAACAATGATGAGCTAACCTCTATGATATGCAGCCTGTGCCTGGGAGGAGCATGCATTAAGTGAAGTATCACCCCTTAAAGAACCAATACTAATGGCAGCCTGTGAAGGATCAACCACGCTTTCAGTTGTAGCCAGAGTAGACTGCAAAATCGATTCACAAAAGACCACCCATCAGCATTGCACAAAAACGAAAAAATAATCATGGAACTATAAATCCTATGCCTTCCAGCTTACCTCTACCTGATCATTCAACATGTTTCACCCGAAGAATTTTTCGCTTAAAACAATACTTTCCGCGGTCCAGTAATGCCCAAGATATAGGCCTTATCCTGAATTTGACAACAACAACAACAATTTAGTTCACTTGGAAAGACCTTCATGCACACAGACACACAAACAACTAGGAAGATTTTCACTTGTGGGGGCCTAACAAATGCTCACAAGGTGGCTCAATTTCTGTACGAAAGGAATTAAAGTTTCTGAAAACTCTGGAATGACTGGATCAACATCAACCGGAAAACCCTCTCCAGCAAAGCAAACATCTAGACAAAACCACTCTCCTTCATAATCGTGCGTGCAAATGTATCAATGTGAAAAGAACATCCTCAGGCCATCACCGCCATAATCTAGTAAACCGGGGAACACTCTAGACGGTTCACATTCCTCCATACAGTCTCCATGTCGCCCAAAGCAAACAGGAAAACCGATCGTCATCACCTTTCCGCCATTCTAACAACAGTTTCAGTTCATATTCGCATTTGCGACTATCCATCCACTCAAGCACACGACGGTTACCATTACAGAAAAGAAGCAATCAAACACCTCGCAATTTCCTAGTTCTACAATCCTTTGCATAACAAACAAACAAACAAAAAAAATTAGTAAGCGCGAAACAGGAAAGAATCGTACGCTCAGTGAATTTCGCACACCGGACGAAGGCTTTCGATCATCGGTGCTACCAGCGGCGAAGAGTGAGAG